CAGCAGCCCTCAGTCAGAGCAAGAAGCAGCCAGGTAAGCTGCAGAGACCCCCCCCGCCCCAAAACAGTCCAGTTTTATCCAGGTACAAGCTCTCCCTCCTCTGCGAGGACAGATCTGCACGTCGTCCCCCCAATAGCTAGCAATCCAAAACAGTCCAAAAATTCTTCCTCTTCCTCTTCTTCCGGTGATGTCAGGGGGTGTGGCATATGCAAATGAGTTATGCTAATGAGCTCCTGCCCACACTGATTCTTACTGACTCCCACTTTGGGTTGCTAGCTTTTAAACTGGTCCCTCTAACCGTCCCTTTAGTATCAGCCTGATCTGCTGCAAACGACAGGCGACGCTATCGACCTCCGTGCTATGAAAAGTTTCCACTGCCCAATCCTAAAATTAAGCTTTTATCAGATGCCCCCCCCATCCCCAGCCAGTTGCGACCCCTCCTCGACATCCATCTCCTCCTTCAGTCACCTGTTTCTTCTGCTCCTCTTCTTTCTTCAGTTTGTCTATCACTTTCTGGAAAGAAAAGGAAAAGGATTTGAAGCGGCTACTCGGACGGGGGAGCCGTACAGACAGTTGAGGCCATAAAATAAGAGGAAGAAGAAGAGAGAAGAAGAGATTGGATTTATACCCTGCCCTTCACTACCCAAGGGAGTCTCAGAGCAGCTTACAATCTCCTTTCCCTTCCCCTCCCCACAACAGACACGCTGTGAGGCAGGTGGGGCTGAGAGAGCTCTGATAGAAATGGCTCCTTTTTCAAGAACAGCTCTTATCAGAACTACGGCTTGCCCAAGGTCATCCAGCAGCTGCAAGTGGAGGAGTGGGGAATCAAACCTGGTTCTCCCAGATTAAAGTCCGCGCACTTAACCACGACACCAAACTGGTACGAACAGTACAGTTAAGGAGACATATCTGACTAGACTGCTGGAAGAAAAATGTGTTAAGTTTTCACAGGCCTGTGGCCACTGTGGGGCCTCCTGGGCCCCTGGGCCCTGACTTCCTGTCAAGCCCCCCCGACTTTTGGAAAGAAGCAGGGAGGAGGCTGCGGCCTCCCCCCTCCTTTCGTGAGGTTTTTTTTTTAGCTCGGCCTATGTGAGTTTTTTAAATTCTGTTTTTATTTCAGTGCCCCCTGTCTTTTTAAAAGGCCCCCCCAAATTAAAAAAAATCCCGGCTACGGGCCTGAGTTTTCACACTGCACAGCGTCCCTCTTCAGAAAGACTGGGTAGGCAGCTGATCTGTCAGTGGCAAAAAACTGACCCAAGAGAAGATGAGAACGGTGCGCCACAAATGATTGTTATTTACTTGCCGAACGGGTAAGGTGCCAGCAAGATTTATAAGCAGCCAGAGTGGGGAGACCTCTCGCTCACGGAGACATGAACATGCCTGCGAGAGAAGAAACCCTTTCCCTGCTGAATCAGACCCTTGGTCCATCAAATCCAGTCAGGCTGGCAGCCGCTCCCCAGGGTCTCAGGCTGAGGCCTTTCCCGTCACCTACTGCCCAATCTTTTTAACAGAGAAGAGATTGGATTTATACCCCGCCCTTCACTCGGAGTCTCAGAGCGGCTTACAATCTCCTTTCCCTCCCCCTCCCCACAACAGATGCCCCGTGAGGCGGGTGGGGCTGAGAGAGCTCTGAGAGAAACTGCCCTTGAGGGAACAGCTCTGAAGGAACTTATGACTGACCCAAGGTCACACCAGCAGCTGCATGGGGACAAGTGGGGAATCAATCCCAGTTCTCCCAGGTTAGAGTCCACGCTCCTAACCACTACACTGAACTGGCTCTCAGAAGAGGCAGGCAGAGCTGTATAAAAGAATTCTCTTGGCCTCACCCATATGCTTGGCGGTACAACTCCGTTTTACAGGCCCTGTGGAAGTGAACCAGGTCCCGCAGGGCCCGGATCTCTCTCGAAACTGCATTCCACCAAGCTGGAGCTACTGCCGAAAGGGCTCTAGCCCTTGTTGAGGCCAGGCAGATATTCTTTGGCCTTGGGACTGTCAGTGCGTTGTTATTTAAAGAGCGTAATGCTCTCTGGGGGGGTATGCCAGGAGAGGCGGTCCCTAGAACTGATCTCTGTACTCTGGAGATCAACTGTCATTCGGGAAGATCTCCAGGGCTCACCTGGAGGTTAGCAACAGCAACGGTACAACACACAGTAAAAAGTAGCAAAGATTAACAAAAAAACAACTGTGAGCTGAATCCCCCGCAAAATATTCACAAAGGAGATTTCATCAAAGTGAAACGCATCTATTGTCTGGAGTAAATCTATCCATATAATCTGTCATGGGAAAATGTAGAAGACAAAGAATAAATGTGCAAGAAGAATATCCAAAAAGTCCAACACTTTTCCTTTGGTAATTTTCCCAGTGTTTCAGCGAGTTTGGTGTAGTGGTTAAGTGCATGGACTCTAATCTGGGAGGACCAGGTTTGATTCCCCACTCCTCCACTTGCAGCCACTGGATGACCTTGGGTAAGCCATAGTTCTGTCAGAACTGTTCTTGAAAAAGGGCAGTTTCTGTCAGAGCTCTCTCAGCCCCACCTACCTCACGGTGTCTGTTGTGAGGAGGGGAAAGGAAAGGAGTTTGTAAACCGCTCTGAGACTCCTTTGGGCAGTGATGGGCGGGGTATAAATCCAATTTCTTCTTGTTCTTCTTCCTCCTCCTCCTCAGGAACACAGAACAACTACTGAGAGTCTCATTCCATCTCCTTTTAAGATAATGCTTTTGTGTTACTTCAACATTGGGCAAGGTCTCCTTAGCTCTAATCTGCACCTTTAAAGGCTGCTTTAATAAGAACATAAGAACTACTTCAACATTGGGCAAGGTCTCCTTAGCTCTAATCTGCACCTTTAAAGGCTGCTTTAATGTATCAGGACCAAAAGATGCTTCTACATTTCCCGATGATGGATTATATGGATAGATTTATTCCAGACAATAGATGCGTTTCACTTTGATGTAGTCTCCTTTGGGAATATTTTGCGGGAAATTCAGCTCACAGTTGTATTTTGTTCATCTTTCTCACCTGGAGGTTAGCAACAAAAGTGAGATACATGGCTGAAGCGAATAACAAAAGAAAGGAGGAAATCCTCCATATGATTAAACCTCCAAAAATACTTAAAAGCAGAGGTCATTTCGGGGGGGAACGCGGGGGAACGCAGTTGACGCATATGACGAAGCCCCGCCCCCTGCTTCCGGCCGCCCCGCTTCCAGCCCTCATTCAGCCAGGAGGAGGCAGGAGAAGAGGGAGGGTAAGTTGCTTCCTCCCCGCCTCTCCCCACCCCTGCCTGCCTGGGGCCAGGGAGGGCCTTGGCGGGGCTTCCTCGCACTCCCGCTGGCCTTGCAGGTCCACCGCCGGGTCCCTGATGTCAGGGGGTGTGGCATATGCTAATGAGTTATGCTAATGAGTCCCCCTAGCTCTTTTTTAATGAAATGACCCCTGCTTAAAATACACTAAATATAATGCTTACATAATGTATAAAACACTATCAATACAAATCTTGAAGTTCATAATAATAAATTGTGCAAACAGGGAAAGATCCAAGTCCATGAGTCACAGAACAGAGGATTCAAATGTCAATTGCAAATTCAAAAGTCCACTCGATACACCAACAGTACTTCAGGTGAGCAAAACCTTCTGTTCCTGAAGACTTCAAACTCTTTTCACATTTACATGGATTTCAAGATTTGTATTGGGATTGTTTGGTATGTTTGTTCTTGCTGATTATGTAAATAATTTGTAAGCATTATAGAAGCACAGAATCACAGAGATGGAAGGGATCTCCAGGGTCATCTAGTCCAACCCCCTGCACAATGCAGGGAATTCACAAATACCTCCCCCCCACACACACACACCCAGTGACCCCCTGTTCCATGCCCAGAAGATGGCAAAAATCCTCCAGGATCCCCAGCCAAACTGGCCTGGAGAAAATTTGCTTCCTGACCCCAAAGTGGCGATCGGCATTTTCCTGGGCGTGTAAGAAAGGGCCACGAGAACTAAGCCCTGAGGCAACCCTCCCTGCCCTCCCTCTCGTGATCTGCCTCCGTTCACAGAACCTAAATCAACCTGATGGAACCACAGTATAAGGATATATACAATAAACAAGGGGAAATTGTGAAAGAAGACACTAATTCAATACAGATAATTCATGGCCCCGGTCACACGGCAAAGTTGCCACGGGAGAGGCACGGGAGTCCCGCGGATTTTCCAGGCGCGATCTCACCCCAACATCTGGGAAGCGCAGTGCTCCTGTGGCGAACCCGTAGGTCCCCGCCGAAGGTGCAGAGTTAAAAACTAGTACCTACGAGGTACTAGTTTCCTGAAACCGCGGGCCAAGGGCGGGCGTCTGATCGCATTCCTGGTGGACTTACGTGGCATCTGGTGCCCGCCGCTGTTCGTCTCCGCAGGTTATGCAACAGCGCCCAACAGCGCATGCGCACAAAGAGCTATTGCTAGTGCGATCGTGTAGCTTGGCTTCTGTGCTGCACTGCAGGATACTCATCTGATTGGCATTTCCCTCGACCGGGATGTGTGCTTGGGCAGCCGCGCATTAGTTTCCTCCGGGGGAATTAGCCACGCCTCCCCCACCGCGATATCCGGCCCATGTGACCGGGGCCCATGAAGTGAATATCTTCTTAATCAATACAAAGCAGTACAAAGAGGTATTACTATAATAAAACTAGTACAAATACATATGTTTGAAGCAGAAGTAAGTTGAAGTTAAGTTGAAGTTGACAACATACTCCGGAATGACCAGTGTCGTTTCGACGTTCCTTCTTCTGAACGAAGTTAAATAAATTGATGCACCTTATAAGAATATATAATATGAATGTGACAGGAGATTACTAACTGTGCTAAATTCCTGTGTATCCAATTTAAAATTCAATAAAGCTATTTGTGACATACAACTTGTCTCTGCTTCCTGATGTAGTTAAACGGTAGAATCACGGCTGACCGCCAAATACAATGCTTCAACATCTACAAAACAAGCAATACATTAGTCCTACGTTCATACATTCTTACACAAACCTTCATACATAATAAGCCTTCATACATACACAATAAGCGTACCAATCCATATTCTTGAAACCTTCATTCTAGTCGGGCAAACTTGTAACCAAATGGAGTGCCTTAACAGGTGTATTGCGTTGTGCGAGTTAAATACCTATACCCACACTCAAGCACTAAGTATCCTAACATTACTTACAATACCAGAAAATCAGTGACACTACTTTAAGAATACAGCCAAAATGGAAATTACTAGGATAACATTGCACAAATGCCAAATATCCTGGCAAAACTTGCAGTCTCATATAGATGATAATAATCCTAGCTCAATTTATAACATCGGCACTGAAGGCTAAAATAACAGTTAGCTGTATACAATCATTAATTATCCTGACTCTACTGCCAGGATATTTGGCGTTGTGCAATGTTATCCTAGTAATTTCCATTTTGGCTGTATTCTTAAAGTAGTGTCACTGATTTTCTGGTATTGTAAGTAATGTTAGGATACTTAGTGCTTGAGTGTGGGTATAGGTATTTAACTCGCACAACGCAATACACCTGTTAAGGCACTCCATTTGGTTACAAGTTTGCCCGACTAGAATGAAGGTTTCAAGAACTAGGAATCTGGATTGGTAAGCTTATTGTCCATTACCTTAGTATGTATGAAGGTTTGTGTAAGAATGTATGAACGTAGAACTAATGTATTGCTTGTTTTGTAGATGTTGTTGAGGTTATTATATTTGGCGGTCAGCCGTGATTCTACCGTTTAACTACATTAGGAAGCAGAGACAATATGTCACAAATAGCTTTATTGAATTTTAAACTGGATACACAGGATTTTAGCACCGTTAGTAATCTCCTGTCACGTTCATATTATATATTCTTATAAGGTGCATCAATTTATATAATCTCAGTTATATAATCTCCTGTCACATTCATATTATATATTCTTATAAGGTGCATCAATTTATTTTATTTCGTTCAGAAAAAGGAACATCGAAACGACACTGGTCATTCCGGAGTATGTTGTCAACTTCAACTTCAACATAATTTCAACTTACTTCTCTTTCTCAGTTCACAGAACCAGCATCACTGTCAGCATTACCAAAGCCACCGGATCATCTGCCAGGTCTTCCTCTTCTTCCGGATCTGTATCTGGGGGAGGGGGAATAGAACAGACTGACTGTGATTCCGCTAGCATAAAGGAGGTCTGGAATTCTGCAACTAAGACATTTAAGTTTGACGGCCGGGAAAAGAGAACAACCTATGAAAAACAACCTATTTCCCCCACTAATTTGCAGTACAGTTAAATTTGCATGCCCCCCGCCCCCTCACTGCCCAGAGATTCTGCAATCCAATCCAGGGTTGCCAGCGTCCAGCTGGGGTAAAACGTGGAAAATCACCATGTAACAACAAAGACAAGGTCCATGATTCTGATACACTACTATAATTTCGTTCATTAATTAACTACTTAATTCATATACTTGTAATATGCAGGAAAGACTCTAGTGTAACCTGATCTCCAGTTCAAAGGACCGGACTCTGGGGAATGTGAAAAACCTGAGACTCTTGAGAATTGCTAACATTTCAAGTGGATGATACCAACCTTCGTGGACCAAGGATCTGATTCAGAAGAAGGCGGCTTAACGTGTTTGTTTTTTTCTGGAGAGAGGCTGTGAGAGAGAGGCTGTGACTCAGTGGTAGAGCATCGGCTTGGCGTGCAGAAGGTCCCAGATTCAATTCCCGGCATCTCCAGTTAAAGGAATTGGGTAGTAGGTGACGGGAAAGACCTCTGCCTGAGACCCTGGAGAGCCGCTGCCAGTCTGAGTGGACAATACTGACTGTGATGGACTCATGGCCTGGTTCAGGAGGAGGCAGCTTCATTTGTCTGCATCCATGTATGTAAGCCACCTTGTGTCCCCAAGACAAAGGAAGGGAGGAAGGAAGAAAAGGAGGAGGAGGAGATCGGATTTATAGCCCGCCCTTCACTACCTGAAGGAACCTCAGAGAAGCTTACAATCTCCTTTCCCTTCCCCTCCCCACAACAGACACCCTGTGAGGTAGGGGGGGCTGAGAGAGCTCTTTGGAGGACTGCTCTTGAAAGAACAGCTTCCACACACCCCTAATGTAGCCAATCCTAATGAGTTCCTGCTGTTGGGTGTGGCCTATTATGCTAATGAGTTCCTGCTGGGCGTGGCCAACTCGGGAGCCAGCCGGAACTCCGTTCCTGTGCGTTCCTGCCCAAAAATAGCCCTGCATATACTTATAATATGCAGCAAAGACTCTAGTGTAACCTGATCTCCAGTTCAAAGGACCGGACTCTGGGGAATGTGAAAAACCTTTCTCTGCCTGAGACTCTTAAGAACTGCTAACATTTCAAGTGGATGATACCAACCTTCACGGACCAAGGATCTGATTCAGAATAAGGCGGCTTAACGTGTTTGTTTCTTTCTGGAGCGAGGCTGTGACTCAGTGGTAGCGATTAGGCTGAGAGAGGCTGTGACTCAGTGGTAGAGCATCGGCTTGGCGTGCAGAAGGTCCCAGATTCAATTCCCGGCATCTCCAGTTAAAGGAATTGGGTAGTAGGTGACGGGAAAGACCTCTGCCTGAGACCCTGGAGAGCCGCTGCCAGTCTGAGTGGACAATACTGACTGTGATGGACTCATGGCCTGGTTCAGGAGGAGGCAGCTTCATTTGTCTGCATCCATGTATGTAAGCCACCTTGTGTCCCCAAGACAAAGGAAGGGAGGAAGGAAGAAAAGGAGGAGGAGGAGATCGGATTTATAGCCCGCCCTTCACTACCTGAAGGAACCTCAGAGAAGCTTACAATCTCCTTTCCCTTCCCCTCCCCACAACAGACACCCTGTGAGGTAGGGGGGGCTGAGAGAGCTCTTTGGAGGACTGCTCTTGAAAGAACAGCTTTGAAATAACTTGTGACTGACCCAAGGTAACACCAGCAGCTGCATATGGAGGAGTGGGGAATCAACGAATTTGACTACCACCTTTGATGGAAGTGACACGCATCCTGACAAATGGGATATATGCAACCAGAACAATTTGGAGAATTTGCACAGCTACCATCTATGGCCCAACATACTAACTTGTAGCAAATGCAAAGCATATAAGAAAGCAACACCTGGTCACATAGATATATACGAAATTATGAATGCATGTATTTTTGGAAGTTTGTCACTGTAAAATAAAGTATACTGACCACTGATGAAGGCCCGAAGGGGCCAAAACGCGTGTGGTCCTTAGGTCAAAGGTTTTACCCATCAATTGGATCTGTATAACAATCAGCTTTGAATGATATAGCTTTGAGTCTGATATTTAGACTATTTCTTTTAACCTTATATATGTTTTATTCATGTGTACACCATAATAAAGGAGCTGTGGTGGCTCAAGTGGTTAAGACGCTGAACTGCAGGCTGTGGAAGGTCAGTAGTTCAGCAGTTCGAGACCCGGGTGCCGCATGAGCTCCCATCTCTAGTTCCAGCTCCTGCCAACCTAGCCGTTCGAAAGCAAGAAATTGCAAGTAGATAAATAGGGACCACTTCGGTGGGAAGGTAACAGCGTTCCGTGCGCCTTGGTGTTTAGTCATGCCGGACACATGACCACGGAAACGTCTTCGGACAGCGCTGGCGCTTCGGCTTTGAAACGGAGATGAGCACCGCAACCCTAGAGTCGGATTCGACTGGCTTTCGAGCAAGGGAACCTTTACCTTTACACCCTAATAAACATTTGTATATTTTTATAATAGTTTATTTGTTAGCTTGACCCTCTTAGCTCGCAGCTACATTTTGGGTTGAGTCCCCCCCCCCTTTTTCCTTCGGAGTGGGGAATCAAGCCCGGTTCTCCCAGATTAGAGTCCGCGCTCCTAACCAGTGGGAGAAAGGGGGGGGGGTATAAATGAAGGGAATAAAGCGAATACCTGTGGATGCCCCTTTCTCCCAACCGAGGCGCACAGTGTTCCTGACCATGCATGAAGACCCATCTCACCTTCCATCTGATCCTTGCAAAGAATGATGCGCTTGCAGGCCATATCGTGATTGTTACTGAACCTCCGCATCAGGATCACCGCATCTTTGATGGTCACCTTCCCGTAGAACTTCTCCCGCAGTCGGCGGACACTTTTTTCCAGCTGCCCCAGAATGGAGAGATTGGGGGTCAGTCCGTTGAGAATCATAGAATCACAGAGTTGGAAAGGAGCTCCAGGGTTATCTAGTCTAACCCCCCTGCAGAATGCAGGAAATTCACAAATACCCCCCCCCCACACACACATCCTCGGTTACCCCTGCTGCACCATGTTCAGAAGAGGGCCAAAACCCTCTGGGATCCCTAGCTGAACTGGCCTGGAGAAAAACTGCTTCCTGACCCCAAAGTGGCGAGCGGCATTTCCCTGGGCGTGCAAGAAAGGGCCACGAGAACCAAGCACTGAGGCAACCCTTCCTGTCCTCCCTCTCAT